AAGAAAAATATATATACATTTCACTCTTTGCCAGTGAAATATAGAAGCCTTTTAGCTAGAGGCATATCCAAGTCTTCCTAAATTCACTATCTAAAAAAATGAAGTGCCAGCTCCACAAAGTTGAGCCAGGCTTCCCACTAAAACCACTCGTTCCTATGGTAAACCTATCATGTGAGTTAAGGTGGAAGTGCTGGAGACCCAGTGAGAAAAGATGTCAATAATTTGTATGATTTCTATTTATATGTTTTGTGATTATTTGTATATTTAATTTTTTTGTTTTGTATTGGGTTTCCTAATTTACTAAAAATGTTTTAATCTTCTTTTCTACTTTGTTATATTTATCAAGGTTTGTGTTTCTTCCTTTTGCCTTAACAACATTTGGGAAGTTACCCATATTATTTCTATTATTTTAGTGATGATCTTTAGAATTTTAACACATAAAGTTCACCTAATTATGTCTTAATTTTATCTACAATTCTACCTTCCTCCTTTAAAGGGAGCTTAAAATGCTGTGAATATGTAAATATGATCACCTCTCTCTGTCTTAAAAACTATTATTATTTTGCTTTTAAATTTCTAAATATTACTTATTTTTATGTTATTTGAATTTACTCATATCTTTCCCAATTAGTTTACTTGCCATTGCTTTTGGCATCCAACTTCTTCATTCTTGGCTCATTATTTCTTCCTGAAATGTATCTTGTTTAGTATCTCTTTCACTAAGTGCATGCTAGTAGTAGAACCTCTCATAGTGTATCTGAAAATATCTTTAGTTTACACTAATTCTTGAGTAGCAGTTCAACATCCCATAGAGTTCTATAGTAATCACTATTTTGGTTCCACAGTTTAAAAATATTCCATTATCTTCACACCTCTGTGTTGCGATGAGAAGTCTGTTGTGAAGTCTAATTATCATGCTTTATTGATATTGTTTTCCTCTATTTCCTTTGATTTTATCCTCTCTGTCTATATCATAATGTGTCTACATATATACACAACTTTGTTTTTATATCTAAGGAGACAGGAAGTCTGTCTGAATAAAATGTAATACTGGAGATTAATTTCCTTTAATTCACATCAATGTTCCTTCTCAATGTCTTCACTAGGTCTACCTTTAACCACTTCTACTCATTTCTTTTACAGTGCAGGGTCTATACTATAGCTATGGTGATAATTTAAAATATAAAATCTGATTATATCACTCTCCTGCTTAAAATTATTAAAAGCTTTCCTGCATTTCTAGAATAAAGACCAAAATCCTAAACAAGATCTAAAAGGCCCTCCTTAAGGGACATCTCCCGACATCCTGGATCTTTTCCTGTTTTGCTTCCTGACTTTCAGACACATTGATTTCCTTTTTGTTTTTCCACAGTTTTGCCCCGTTAACTTCCAGCCATTCTTGAGATCTTATTTCAGTACTACTCCTCAGATGAAGACTTCTCTGACCCCTTGGAATATATCAGGTCTTTCTAACACATGCTTTTATGACCATCTGCCTTATTTCAAAGAGTAATGGGACTATAAATATATGACCATATGACTGTCGGTCTTATCCGTTTGAGGGGAGGAATCTCTCTCTTTTGTCCAACATTGCTACCCTAACAAACAGCCTAATTCCTGCCACACAGAGGTTGTTTTTAAAGGCTAATAATACATTGTAATGAATTAGCCATGGATTTAAGAAAAAAAAAAAAGAAAAAAAAAGAAAATAAAGGCTAATAATAAAGCAATACTTTTTAACTACCAGTATGTTCTTATTTGTTTATCCTGCCTGCATGTAAGGTATCAATTGCCTACTATCCTAAGAAAATTGCTTATTAATACTTAGCAGACCTAGTATATCATTTCTACCAACCTTTAAGTCTTGCTAAACTGGCAAATTGTATTACATGGAACTATGTGGGTTTTTTTTTCTTTTGAGTTACATTTTTAATGTAGCTAATCATCACTTATCATCCTAAAAAAGAGGTGAAGATCAAGACCATGACATTTTGATTTGAAAAATACCTTGGAAATAGGTATATATTGGTGTTTGAATTTGTTTTTGTCAAAAAGTTATATAATTAGAAGTTAACCATGCACATATACATGAAAGTAAATATGCTTCAGAAGGAAAAATAAAAAACAACCCAATTGTTGGGAATCGTGAGCTCATCTAAGCAAGAAGCTGCCATCTGGAGAAATGATTTTCACACTCTGATGACAGAAGTGGCCTTATATCACCAAATGTGACAGGCCTCCTTCACTTCTTTTCTAATTAAATGAAATTTTCTTTGAAGGAGCTTTTTGTTAAAGATATAATTGTATTGATATAATCCAAGTAACATATAGCCTGACAGATGGAAGAAGAAGGGATGGTAGTTATAATACTACCCTTACAAATAAAGTGTTACCAGCCAAAGACTTGGTTTACCATTAGTCCTTATTTACATGCTGATATTTTTCCCCTTAGTTTACACTTCTATAAAAATTGTAACTTGAAATCTCTAATTCATTTATTTAAAAACAGAAAGAAAGGAAGAGCAATCTTCAGTTTTCCACTGAATAAATGTTAGTAATTCCCCATTCCCACCAACCATGCTGTACAACATGGAAAATAAAATCGATTTCTTTGTGTCTTCCTTTTTCTTTTTTTATGAGCATTGCTGGTGGCATGACTGAAAACTAGGGCTGCTCTTGTCATATCAGCACAGCAAATATACACAGTAGTCATGATAGAATAACTAAGTTAATTTTGTTCAATGTAACAATTTCAAGGGACATACAGAATTGAATGTGTGTGTGTGTGTGCGTGTACATAAAATATATATACTGAATATACACACTATATGTACAAATTCCCATTTATATGTGTACAATGAAATATACATGTGTATAAATGCACATATATATACATATGTGAGATATACACTGTGTGTATATGTGTACATATACAAATATTTGACATTTGTCTCAAAGTATCTTTTTTTAAGAATGTTTTTGTCAGCATTTGTATTCAGCTGCTATATCAGAAATTCAGAAAAACAGTGACATATACATGATAGAAGTTCATTTTCTCTTGTGTAGAAGAAGTTCAGAGGTGGGTGGTCTGGGGCTGTATGGCAACTCCACAATCACCGGGGCACCCTATTTTATCTGCTCTGTCAATCTTAGCCTGTATTTCCATTTTTAATTTTCATCGTTGACCTAGATTTCTGCTTGAACTCCAACCATCGCAACTCAGATACAGACTAGGAGAAAGAGAAAGAGGGAGGGCAATTTAAGCTGCGTATAAGTCCCACCCAAAGATTTCCTTTAATGCTCCTGTATACTAGGATGCTGGGAAATGGCCTTCGTCTGCAGGGAACCTTCCACAGAGTTCTATCAGGAAGGAGAAAACCAAGTAGGCCTCTAGCAGTCTCCACCACAGTGTGTGGTTCTCAACTCTCCTCTAGAACCTGGGCGGGCATGTGTTCATATGGCAGCTGATACAGTCTTCTAAACCAACTTAATTCCGTTAATGGTCTAGAAGACAAGCTTCTAGAGAACATTGGTCCAGCCTTATTAAAAATTTTTTTTCTGCTGAACCAGAGTACCACCTATTTTATCGACTCAGTGTGGTCTCTGTGTCTAAATGGGTTCTTTGGGTTAATAGAAGCATGTTTCAAATCTTTTGAAAAATGCAATTCATATGTTAAATTTGTTTTAATATAAATTTTTTTGATTTCATTTTTTTCATTGCAGTAAAAATAAAGAATGTCAGTCAGCTCAGTTTATACCAAATCAATAGGTCATATTAATTAAATTGTTTGAAACTCACTTTCTACAGCTGTAAAATGTGGTTAATGATTCTTCACTGGGGGCATTAATATGAAAATTTCAAGCTCATGAATACAACATGTCTAGCCCAGCAAGTGGGTAATGCCAAAAACTTAGCAAATACCTATTTCACAGTTCCCACATATAACCAGTAGATAAAACTAGTTAGAAAATAGTAAAAATATTAATATAATATTAAAATACTGATTCAGTATTTAGAATTTGCCAATCTGAAAATCTGCACATCTTTGCCATGATAAAAAGCTATGTTCACATTTCTCCCATTTTCACCAATGAATATCTGCCTCTGTAGATAGAGTTGTGACAGACCATTAGTACTAACAAGATAATTATTTAGATAACCAAATAAGATATAAAATACTGAATAAAATAAAGACTGTAATATCAAATGAAAATCAGTAGTTCCTCCATTATCAACATAATGTACTGGAAGATGTATTAGAAGAAGGTATTAACTAAGTGTGTTAGTCATTCAATCATGTCTGACTCTTCGTGAGCCCTTCGACTGTAGCCCACCAGTCTCCTCTGTCAATAGAATTCTCTAGGCAAGAATACTGAAGTGGGTTACCATTTCCTTTTCTAGGGGATCTTCCTACCCAGGGATTGAACCAGGTATCCTCCGTTGCAGGCAGGTTCTTTACCCACTGAGCCACCAGCAAAGCCCTAAAACTATAACTAAAACTATAAAAACCTAGTGATCAGTTGATCAAGAATTTTCAAGACCTTTATGGGAAAAACTGTAAGACTTTACTGAATACCAATCAAGAGGTACTAATAGAAATGATATCTGTTCATGGTTAGGTAGAATTAATACTCTAAAATATAAATTCACTCTTAGCCTATACATTAATCACAATTAAAATCCCACCAGGATTTTTAATGGTGTATGGCAAATTCATTCTAAAATTTACATGGAAAAATAAATGTATGAAAACAACGATACCAACTTAGAAAAAGGAGATCAAAGAGACTGAAATTGCCCAACCCAATCAGAAAGCCTATTCTCAAGCAATGGTAATTAAAAGCATGATATAATGTAGGAACAGATGACTAAGTCAATGGCACACATAAGAAAGACATGATAAAGAACCATGCATATATGCCTCTCCTTGCATTTTTGGCTAATTCTGACCTAAAGGAAACAGTAAATAAACCTCTTTGTGCTTGACTTGATTTTATAGGTGACTCAGAGTGGAGGTATTTTCTCATGCTCTGAAGAGACTCTGCCTTCTACCTACTTTCACGTAGACCACCTTACTTCAAGACAGGAAATGCTCCTTCATCACGTACTCTCCAAACTTTCTTTTGACTCCCTCTCCATCCTGAAGCCACTTTCATCCCCTGTTGTAAGAATAAAGAAGCAATCCTGTTCTATTATTTACCTCTTGGATCTACTGTAAAAGGTTATTTAATCTGAGTCTGACTCCTCTGCTGTTAAGTGAGAACAATAATAGAACCTCTCCAATAGGATTACTTTTACAGTTAAATCAGTTCTAAGCATTACATTTAATAGCATCAATTGTAGGACAAACCTGCAGCCATGCTGTTTGTCTCTCCCATCAGCCCATTACCATGTATTCTCTGGGTCTAGTTTTCTTCTGTCTCAGCATGATAATTAGAGCAGATACCATAATTTTTCTAGTAATGTTTAAGTAACACAAACAGTTCTGTAACAATAAAATGCAGTCTCAGGCTTGTATCAACACAGTCAGTCCACGTGATAGCCAAAATTTCAATCTTGCTTTAAAGTTAAAATATCTCCCTCTCTTCCCTTTCTGAGCTCAATTCTATGGCAGGAAAGAAGCCTGTGTTTGAGGAAGTAACCATGTGGTCAATTTTAAATTTTTTTTCCTTCAGTTAACCTGCTACTTTAATCTCTTCTTGCTAATAGCAGTGGAGGAAGGGAGAAGATGAACCAAGTGCAGAGAAGTTCCTACTTGGACGGGATTGTCACATTAGTCTGGTCTTGGCATGCTGGACTTGGCAGGTGTTTACAGCTGAATCTTTTTCTTGTTGGTATTTACATTTGTTCTCCAGAGAACACCCTTGCTGGGAATCTCCTAAAAGATCCCCATTTGATGAGAACAAAAACACCCCTACTCTTGTTGGTTTCTCACTCTTTTTTCAGTCCAAAGATATTGCTTGCTTCTTTGTATAAGGTCTGTTAACCTGATGGGCTTCCTGACTGGCACAGTGGTAAAGAATCTGCCTGTCAATGCAGGAGATGCAAGAGACTTGGGTTTGATCTCTGGGTGGGGAAGATCCCTTGGAGGAGGAAATGGCTAACTCACGCCAATATACTTGCCTGAGGAATCCCATGAACAGAGGAGCCTGGTGGGCTACAATCGATGGGATTGCAATAAGATTGAAACGACTGAACAAGCACATGTTAACCTGATAGGAATGAAGATAATGACTTCAGAACAGCTCTCTCTTACATGTGACACATACTGGGTCCTTAAAAACATGTACTTCCTACACCCAGAAATTTCTGGGAGTCCTGTCTGACCTCTTCTCCTTACATTGTCAAAGCAGCAAGATAGCTGTTGCTGTTAGATTTTCCAAGTGTCCCTCAGATTCCTATCCACTGTGGTCTTTGCATTGCATGTGACATATATTGAGCTTCTCAGTTCCCTTTTCTTGGGCTTCAGGGGACAGTGTCCTTCAAATCTTCTTCCTTAAAACTCAATACACAGCATTCTCCAAAGAAAGCTCCCCATTCTAACTCTGAATACTATTATGCCATTGACATGAATGAAGGGATGAGTCATGTAACTTATTTCTTGATACTATGTTTATAAATTTTGCATATGGTTGAGCACCTCCTTTGACATGTCCTTTTGTCTCGTGATATCTTAGCCAAACTTCCATTTCAAATTTAAAAATGTTAGTTCTTTTTATCACCCAAGGATAGCGGGCATAAGGGCTAACACTGGGGATAGAAGGATCAAAGGAAATTTCAGTTCTGTTATATTTTTAGAGGAATAATTAAAGTTTATATTGTGTGTAAAATTAAAAATACAGTAATCCTCATGGATAATATGTTTTTCCATTATTTAAGTAGATCCTCCTTTTCTCAGAGGCTACATACTACCTCTGCATTTATCAAGTTTCCACAGACATTGGTCTGTTTCTAAGCTCTCTATTCTGTTACTTTGGTAATAGAATCCTCTTATTTCTGTGCTGAATATTGCACTCTTCTAGTTATTACAAGTTTATGCAAACAATATCTAAAGAGAAAATCCCCCTCCTTGAATGGCCCTTTTCCATAAGAGGGCCTTGGCTTTTCTTGGCCTTCTGGCCTTCATAAAGATTTTAGAATCAGCATCTCAAAATCATAATGAATGATTTGAAGATCACCCTTTATTGTCCAACCCCCAAAGTCTATGATACAAGAAGAAATAAGTTTGCTATAATTAAACATATGGATCAAACCTGTTCTCTCTTTAGAGGTGACCGACTCCCTTTTTATTTCCAGATAACTGAAGTGATGTTGGCCAATCACAAACTTTCTTGTGGGAGAATTGAGCAGTAGTTTTCCCTTTAATAGATAATAGAGATAGTATTAAGCAGCAAGCATGTACAAACACCTCATGACTTAATGCAAGATAGATATATAGGCTAGAGAAGTTCCTGTGTTCTATTTCATTCCCCTTGTTATATTACACATAAATACCATTTGGAAGTGGAACAATATGTATCGTACTATATCATGTTCTTTTAGTGACAGTTTAGCAAGTCCATATCTTTTCAGATGAAGAAAGCTTTGTAACATGGCAAATGACCAACAAAGGCTCTAATCCATCATTTAAAGAATTTGACAATGGTTCTTGACACATTCTATCCCTTGCTTTTTCACTTTAAAATTATGGTAATATTTTCAGGTCAACACGTAAAGACTCAACTCATATGTTTGCACAACACTACTGGGAATACTGCAATGAACAAAATAGTAAAACGTCTGTGAATAAAGCTTTAATTATTTTTTTCTCTAACATAGCGTTACCAGAGACTCTCCTGCTTTCCCTAGGTGAAGTTGATTACCACTGTAATTTTGCCATTATCTTCTCTCTGAATTTACCTCTAGTCTGGCACATTTGTCCTAACACAATGACTTATTTCCATCCTTTGATGGTCATATTATTCATAACATTTCTGAAACTTCTTTCTTCTTCTTCCATTGAGCTTTGAACATTAATTTCTTTGTTATGTCCTAATCTTTTTCCAAGGCTTTTTCTACAGTTGCTTGGGTTTATCAGGGCTTTCCTTGGAGAAGTGAAAATCTAATTCTTCTTCTTTGTATCCATAGCTTCTAGCCTAGCGCAAAGATCCACATTGGATCCATAAATAAGGGTTAGATGAATGAAATCTCTCAAATTATCCCCAATCACTTCCATGGAAAGGAAGGACTCTACAATATTTTAAGCAGTATTTAGATACTTCTGAATGTCATTTCATCTCCAAACATCTAATATTTTAAAACTGAGTTGTTCATTTTTTCTCACCACTCCCCTTCACTCAGCCAGATCTCCTTTTTGACTTTTTAGAAACCTTAACCATCCTGTTTTGAGCTAATTCTAGTTCACTGACTTCCTTTTCTCTCAGCTTATATCTTGTCTCCCATCAAGTTCTACTTCTGCTAAGTAGCTTCAGTCATGTCCAACTCTGTGCGACCCCATGGACAGCAGCCCACCAGGCTCCTCTGTCCACAGGATTCTCCAGGCAAGAACACTGGAGTGGGTTGCCATTTCCTTCTTCACAAGTTCTATTAGGAGATTTTATTCCTAATATTTCCCACAACCATCCTTTCCTTTCTTTTCTCCAATTAACAGCCAAATTGAAGGTATGCATCTTCTAAAGCCAGGTCTACTGCTATATATGCCTAACAGAGTGACTCATAGACACTCAAAGGATGACTACATGTCATGTGTGAACAGTAAATTATGTGCTCAGCATCCTTTTTTTCCACAAGGAAACTTTTTATTTTATACTGCAGTATAGCCAATGAACAATGTTGTCATGGGAAGTTGCCTTGAAGGAGGTCAGTTGTCACAACTGTCAGGGACAGAAAAACAAAAGAAAGTTGGATTCACTGGTGATGTTCTAAGACCAGCAGGCTTGTCTTAGAAGAATTTATAAATGTTCATCACAGGACATCATTAGTGAAGCTGGATATTGTAGTCATCCTTCTGAACTCCTTTATTTACCATTTACCCTTTTGAAGAGCCTCCCTCATCCTCTCCTGCCTGCTGAGCACTCTCTCTTCTAAATGCCTCCCTTTAGTTCTCACTATCTTGAGTATTGTTCACAGCTCAAGACTTCCAGCATTTCCACTGAATCTCATCCTCTTAGATTAGTGATCTTTGAAGGCATTACATGCTAAGCACTTAAGTCGTGTCCAACTCTTTGCAACACTGTTGACTATAGCCCGCCAGACTCCTCTGTCCATGGGATTCTCCAGGCAAGAATACTGGCATGAGTTGCCATACCCTCCTCCAGGGGATCTTCCCAACCCAGGGATTGGACCTGTCTCCTACATCACCTTCTCTGGCAGGTGGGTTCTTTACCACTAGTGCCACCTGGGAAGCCCTTAGAAGGTATTAGCTAATCAGATTTACTCATCCATTAATTCCATGAATATTTAACAAGCAGTACAATTCCAGGATTGTTTTGGGCACTGAAAATAAAAGCTAGTGCCTGCAAAGACACAGCTAGCTAATTTGCTACCCATTCTCCCTGACGCTATCAATATGTCCAGTTCTTAGGAAGGCAGTATATTATGGTTAAGGGCATGAGCATAAGACATTGTGTGGGTTCAGATCTTAGCTATATCCCTCTCAGTATGTGAGGTAGTACAATTATTTAAACTCTCTGTGTTCAGATGCATCATCAATAATAATATTTTGCTCAGACTTTGTAGTAAGAATTATAAAAACTCTCAAAATAATACTGGTACCTATTAAACATTCAAGAAATACTGGCTATTAAGAGGAGGCCCTAAGTGCTCTGAGCATTTCAGATCTTGGGATTTGTCGGGGTGGGTATATGGAAGTTACGGCAATGTGTGCTGTACCAGTTCCAACTTCTTCTCTGCCTGTTTGCCTGTGTGTTCTATGAGGTTGATTGATATTGATTGATTAGTTGATGACTTTGGGATAGTGAGTGAGTTTTGGTTGTTAATCAATACAGAAGTTAAGCACGGATGACCTTCGGAGTCAGGCAGAACTAGGTTCAAATCTTTCTTTGCCAATTATGTGCCATAAGATCATAAAAGAAGTGGGGTTAATGATTCTATGTCCTTTCTTCATTTAATCAATGTTTACTGGGCACTTACTGCATGCCAAACTATTCTATGCCCTGGGAATACAGTCGTGAACCAAAGAGATATGATCTTGACACTAGTGGTACCTACAATTA